AATTTGTATGAGTTGCCGACTTTCTCAAGGACCGGGAAAGGTCCAGCCATTTGGCTATCAAGCTTCTTGTTTGGTCGATCTGTATGGTAATGGCGAAGTGATAGCCACACCCTGTCACCCACATCAAAGTCAATAGGGCGTCGTCGTTTGTCTGCTTGTCTCTTCTGTTGGTCCTGAGCTTGTCTGATTTGGGTGCCTATTGTTGACCATATTTTCTCCATCTGTTTAGTGGCATCCTGAGCTCGTTGGCGACTAATCTTCTCATCCCGAGGAAGGTTCTTCTCAATTGGCTTCCAGTCAAATGAGGTTCGGGGCTCATATCCACAGTCAACAAGAAATGGAGAGGCATCCGTAGATTCTGAGGGCAATGCGGCGGCAGCAAAATCGATCATTGGTAACAGGTCAGACCAGTTATCCTGGTGGTTGTTGATGAAGGGTCTCAACCGGTTGACAATGTGCTGATTTACAATCTCTGTCTGTCCATCTGTCTGAGCATGGTATGCCGTAGAAAGCTTCAGTTTCACTCCAAGAATCTGGCAGAATTCATTCCAGAATGATGACACAAACTGGGGCCCGCGATCTGACACAATAGTGGATGGGGGCCCTCTATGACGGTACACATGCTCGATAAATATCCGTGCAACATCTTCAGAGGTTGCAGTCTTCTTGCAGGGAATGCTGATGGGCCTCTTGCTAAATCGGTCCACAATTACTAGTGCGGCATCGTACCCTTTCTGATCAACTGGGAAAGAGCGGAAATCCATGGATATATGTTGCCAGGGGCGTTCTGCAACAGGTAATGGTTGTAGGAGTCCTGGGGCATGATCCCGAGGATTTTCTGCTCTTCGACACTTTGAACAGTTTCGTACATATCTCTCAACATCCCGTCTCCAGGTTGGCCAGTAATATCGTGATTTGATGAGTTGTTGGGTCTTGGTTCTTCCTGGGTGTGCAGTTGACACCTGCGCATGCACTTCGTCAAGTAATCGGGAGCGTAGTCCAGGGTCATCA